ATTATATGGCCTTTACAAAGAGCAAAGATCTAATGTAGGTGTTCTGCTCGCTATAACCTTTAATTCTATATCTTATGTACCAATACAGACATTATAACAATAGTAATGCACATTGAATTATCCGTGAATAAACGTCTCTTCTTTAGGCTATAGCGAGAGTCTATGGCCAGAAAGATGACCGCACGGGGTTTAAGTGCAAACTAATGGTCACATGTCATGAATATTCATGAACGGACAACGAACTAAATTTTATTTATACTCTCCCTCACTACGTTCGTCCGAATATATAGTAATTATTAAATATTATCTAAATTAAATGTAGGTGTGCTACTCGCTATAACCTCGAGAAAAGGGAATTAAAATAGTAAAGTTATATTAATTTTCATCTTCGCTAGCCAAGGGTTACGATCCACTTCTCACCAAGGGTGGAGAGGAGGGAAGTGGATCGTGACCTTTGGCTAGCGAAGATGATTAAACTTGAGCTGAATAATAACATCAAAAAGAAAAAAAAATCAACTCGTCATATACCAAGATTTGACGAAACTGTAAGTTGCTTTTTAACAGAATCTTTAATATAACCGTCTTTAGCAAAATCGGTACGCCACCTTCCATGTTCCTTAATTAAACGATCATGAAGACAACATTGTTTACAATCAAGACAAATCGCAGTTAATGTGCCCAAAATTATTCCCTTTGTACAAGATAAAGAACAATTAACTTCTGCTAACTTATAAGATTTTTTATTTCAAAAAACTAACAGATCGAAAACATATTGATCAGAATCTAAAGACAGCTGAGCTAAATTAATGTATGTCAATAACCAGGCTGCTGGATATAGGTAGACACATTTGTTCTAGAAATTACAGCATTATTTCCCCTTGTATATACATCTGTTTTCCCAGATTCAATATTCAAAGAAATATAAGCGTCAAACATTTTTATATTAGACTTCTTTAAACTTGCAATCTCACTGTAGCGTAAAAATGCTGCATAACCAACTAACATCATTGCACAAATTCTAACATTCGGCAAATGAGAACGATCAGTACCAATTTTGTGTACTATCTTCTGTGACTTCTTTAAATGATCTGCTGTAATTGGTTCTTTTTTCAATATTGGTTTACTAAGAATTCTCTTCGCTCCTTCAATCATCATCCGAATAAGCTTGTCTTCACCGTATTATATATTAAACTGAAATCATGATACCACTTTATGCTATAAAAATGAGCTAATAAAACTGATTCAGATACGGATTGCTGTAGAAGACCACTAATATAAACTGCAACGGATGATACACTTGCGGGCAACGGATTAGCTTCATATGTAATACACCACCCTTTAAATATTTTGAAATACACATCATACTTTTTATTTGTAGAAATTGCTTTACCGCTTCTCACAATATTGAAAATGCTTTTTTCACATTGTTGATTCGAGTTCGCAAATTGAGACATTTCCCTCCATGGTGCAATGTCCTGTAATAATGAAACATAAATAAAACAAAAAGCAACAACTTAGCTAACTATGAAAATATACATCCTAATAACGTTAAAAGTGCATCTTTAACAACTGCACAAGGTGCATTTTTATCCAATAACCGCACATGGTGCATCTTTATTCAATAACTGCAGAAGGTGCATCTTTATCTAAAAAATACACGAAGTGCATTTTTATTTTTAAACCGCACAAGGTGCATATTTTATTCTTCAACCGCACAAGGTGCACTTTTATTGTTAAACCGCACAAGGCGCATTTTTTTTCTTTAACCGCACAAGGTGCATTTTTATACTTAAACCGCACAAGGTGCATTTTTTATTCTTAAACCGCACAAGGTGCTTCTCAGTTATAAACTGCGCAAGGTGCATCTCCATTCTATGAATCTATATAACTAATATTGGATACATATGTAAGCGTATGGTACATTCCGTAGTAGTAAGTTTAAAAACAAGGACGTTACTGATGAATGGGGATTGAGCGACAACTGTCTTTGGCTGAACTTGATAAAAAGAAATGTTTTGGACGATCGAATTCAACAAAATCTGTAGTAAATTCGTAAAATTTATTTTCTGCTTTGTTCCAAACCATAGGCTAAAACAGAGCAGACTTCCACTTAGGAACTACCAATACACCTTTTGCTCGACACTTTAACAATGATTTAGTACTCGGCAAACAAACCCAACATCCAGTTGTTTTCTCCTTACCAGTCGAAAGCGAAAGCGTCGACTCCTTGAGTTCCTGGAACCCAAAATTTTGAATTAAACCGATCAATCTTATGATTTTTAACGTCTGCAAATCTGTTAATTGTTAATTTCCCCCGTCTGTTATTAAACATATAAAAAACACTGTCGGCCTCAGCCCAGTCGTCAAAATCAAAAATTCTACTAACGTAATCTGCTCGTACATTTTCAGATCGTTGGATGCACTCAACTTCAATAGTTATACTATTAACTATGTAAATTGTATAAATATTCATAGCAAGTTCATGTAAATCATGTAAACTCTATCCAGGTGGAGCTCGTAAATCTTTCTTGTTCACTAAACATATTATGAGCAATTTGTAAAACATTGCCATCAATAAAACCTGCTCCAGCATACATACTGGCATTGGAAAAAAATAATACGTTCTGGAATCTTGTGTATAGGACATACTAATGAATTTGGTATAGATTTATAATTAATTTCCAAAATTCTAGTTCGGTCTTGACTTGAGAGGGAATATCAAAATACTAGTCCCAAGTATCTCTCTGACATACAGACATGCATAAATTACGTGTCATCAATTGGCAAATATGGCCAAAAGCTGGAATCAAAGATATAATCTTCTCGATCGAGAACAGATGCAATTTTCTGCCAGTTGAACGATTATGTGAAAGAATTTTTTCGATTTTGAACTTTTTTTCAATTTTCTTTTTTGGAACTTCAATAACACCAGATACTAGATTCCATTTGATGACTGATAAAACTTATATAATTATACACATATACTTCTCAAATAATACATAAAAACTTGATTACATATCTTTTCTTTACTTTTCTTTTTATTGCAATTAAGAAAGTTTTTCCCGATTCTTATCCAATTCGGTTCCTTCAAAATGTGTGAAGATGAGTCTTAATCACAAATCTGTACTATTGTTGTTAAAATGAAGGAAACTTAATTTGAATGTCATCGGTTCATTTTATTTTTTTTGCCTTCACGAAATGTTGAACGCTTATCCAGCTGAACTTTATCATCTTTTACGCTAAATATTTTAGACAAAAACGTCGAACTCAACTTCATAAAGATAAACTATAAGTCGAAAAAATACAGACCATAACTTGGCATAAAGAAAAACGACAAAAGACAAACAAGTCCATTAAACACTACAAAAACAATGGAGATTGAGCAACGCGTAACAAACAAATATTTGGGAGTGATGCTCCGAAAGGTAGGCAGTTTCTGATCCATAAAGGACTCCTCTCGTGTTGCTCAAGGCTAGTAAAATCACATTAGGTGATGTGTCATTGGAGATAAAGAAGACGGGGTTGTGGCTACGACAGGCAGAACATATACTTGATCATCTGTGAGACAAATATTCAAGCGGTTAACCATAGCAAAATGTCTTCCGTAGAATTTTCGATTGGATGGATACACCTTTATAATTTTGGAACACTTGGTTCAATAGCTTCCTTGTTATTAGCAATATATTATCTAGAAAATCATGATATGGCGCAATCCTTGAAAAATAGTATCAGCTCGGAGCTACATACATGCTGCTAGAATTTGATGCTGACAAACGGTTATAATTGAAAAATTGGAATCGCCTCCATTGTAGTTAATTTTGTTTTTCAACCAATCGCATTTGTCAATTTCAAGATGAATGATGAGGTAAGAACACAAACTTAACTGTATCTATGACATCGAATATTTTCATTTTAATGTGGTAGATACGATCAACATTGCTATCAAACTTTAAATTAATAATTTAAGGACATCGTGTTTAAAGCAGAACATAGAAGGATGATGTCAGTTTATTTTTCATTCTCAGTGAAAAGTTCCCATATGAAAACTACCATATACGAACAAGGGAACAGGTCAAAAGAGGAGCACAAGTGGTTCCAATAAGAATGCCGGTTGAAAAACACGTCCTACAAACAAATATATGGTGTCAATGAAAAAAATTAAGCATCTTCAGATGACTTTAGTTTTACAAAACAATTTGTTTTTATTTTTTTTCTACAAAGTACGAATTCAGGGAAGGCTGATGACCTTTTGCCTATTCTGTGTAGGTCATATTGCTCCTTACGTTTCTACGTTGTGTTTCCCTCGGTTTTAGTTTGTAACCCGGATTTGTTTTCTCTCAATCGATTTATGACTTTTGAACAATGGTATACTACTGTTTATTTACACATCCCTGGCTTTAAAATGTTTAGAAATGAGCGTTCTCGATGATAGTCAACCCAGAAAAGCGCTTCGGACACATGAAACTATAAAGTGTTTATTTGATTCCCCTTTTTCCTAAAACAATATCTTTTACATGTGTTTGCCATTCCTTTTTTAAGAAACAAATTTGAACTAATTCTTTCAATGTGGAAAACTAGTGTAAAGAGAAGAGAAGTCAAATGTTGTTTTTTTTTTTGTTATATAATAGTTTGTAGTTTGCCAATAGCGAAGATTTAATTGTTGATGAAATAGATTTTAATAACTTTGAAAAAGAACTCATCATAGATGCCTGGTTTAGGTAGAAATTCGTCGAACATTAGCAATAGCAATATATTATTGTTTGAATGGACACTTATATCATTTTGGTTAGCAGAATTTGTAAAGAAGGGTTTTTGACATTTGGACAGACATTTACATTCCTTTTTTATAAGAATGTTCTTTTTCTGTTCTTTGAGTTCTCGCCTGTCACAACTTTGATTAATCTGAATTCACACATATAAAGATAATACGAACCTATATTTATTTACAGTTATCTTATTAAAGTCACATGATACAATATTTGTAATATCAATATTATACTATGGATGATATGTCGTCTTTAATCATATTTATATTAATGAGTTGTTGTGTAATTGTGAAAACACAAATACCTCAACATTGTCGAAAGATAACACCGTGTTCCTGTATTGACGAGTGGAACCGGATTGTAAATCTGACAGTATTGGCTAATAAGCTTACACCAAGGTAATTTACATTTAATGGCTAAACGTTTTCACGAAACTATAAAAACAAAAGAACTGACGCTCTATAGAATCATCTGATAGTCTTCTTGTTATCTTATTTTCTTATAACCAGGACCTGCCATGTTTTGTGAATTACGTGTGGCTGATAAAATGTCATCATTTCCGTCTTAAAAAGTACAGTGAAATTTAATAGAACATAAAAGTACAAGTCCTGTGTGTCCGTTGTACCGATTTATATCATATGTTCATTTATATATATATATAATACACATTTAAATTGTAACCAATTGGAATCCGAGAGATTCCGTCGATATGTTGATGTCAGTCACACATAACTGATTTCAAAGACGGGTTCGATTCCCAGTGAAGGCATATAGAAATTACAAAAATTAAAGGTAAGTTTTTAAATTAATTCCATAAGTGAACAGAAATCAGTAAATTAGCTAATTCAACCTTAATGAAATTTGGCACACAAAGGAAACAATTGAATAAAATTTGGTGAATCCATTTCAGCGACAGATTTAGAAAGCGTTGATTCTAGAAAAAGAATCCACGGTAAATGAATAGGCTGACGTCACGACAATGGTTTAAATATACATAATAGGCAATCGTATAGTATAAGTTGGTAGCCGCGAGGTTAGCATGGTTAAGATCAATGAGTTAATGACTTAAGTTAAAGGTAGGGACTTGTCGGTTTAGGTTCGAATCCCTGTATTCTCTTTGTTGTCCCTATTCTTTAGTTTTTCTGTGTTTTTTTTCTTATTTTGTATGTAATTGTGGATATTTTTGTAATAATAATGGCTATTTTACATATTTGAAACGAAAATGATTACATTCAGTTTGTCCATTTTTGTCTTATAAATATAGTAAGATTTCATCTGTTTTACTACATAATTTTACAAATGTTTATTCGCAAATTCCTATGCGAGTAAGTCGTGATGTGCCTAGAATTAGGCTTCTTGCTAGAAATTTCGGTAACATACTTATTATATATACTTTATATATGCTCTTTGGTCAGGTTGTTGTCTCTTTGACACATTCCCCATTTCCATTCTCAATTTTATTAGAAATAAGTTCGAATATGTCTTACTTTGTAAACACAGATAATATTCAGATGTCTGATAATTTAAAGGCTGACGTGTTGTGTTATATTTGTATTTTTATGTGATCTTATATTTAGTAATGCAACATGATACCATGGGTATTTAAACTCACTTACAATACCTTCTAATTAAGAAAAGGCTTTAATTTTGAAAAGACATTAACACAATAGTTTAAGTTATAGATACAATGAATAAGCATTGATTCATGAAAAACAAACCATTCGCCCTCCGGGCTCATGGTTTCTTTTTCATGAATCAACGCTTATTCATTGTATCTATATTACTGATTCTTTGTTCACTGTAACGGATACCTAAACTACATAAGTGTCCTTACAAACAACGTTATATAGCTGGGTCTTCCAAGTACTCAACGAAACGTCTTTCTAAATTATTAACATCAATTTTATCAGCAATCAAAACCGGGGTTCAAAGTTATTGTGAAACTACAAACTCTAGAGGTGGCGTGAATCAGATGTGGATACTAAAAAATTCCAAAGATCTTTTAGAGTCAGACAATCTAAGACTCTTTCATCTTGCAATAGAATTGAAACATTTGATCTTTCTACACTTTACACAAGTATTCCCCATTCCAAACTAAAAGACCAATTGAAAAATTGGTCCTGCTTTGTTTCATAAAAAAGAATGGCCAACGTAGATACAAGTATCTTGTCTTAGGGAGGGATAAATCGTACTTTGTAAAATAATACTCTGATTCAAACAAAAAATTCACTGAAACTTACATTATTAAGATGCTTGATTTCTTGATTGACAACACATTTGTAACGTTTGGAGGACATGTTTTAACAAACTATCGGCATTCCAATGGGAACCAACTGTGCTACTCTTCTTGTCGACTTGTTCCTTATTCATATGAGACTGACTTCATACAATAACTTCTTAAGAAGAAAAAAAAAAGAAGTTAGCAGTATCCTTTAACTTCACTTTCCCCTATATACCAGGTAGATGATGCTCTCTCACTAAATAATTTAAAATTTGGTGACTATGTTGAACGCTTCTATCCCATCGAACTTGAGATAAAGGATACAACAGATACAGTTAAGTCGGCCTCATATCTTGACTTATATCTATGAGGGTCGGTTGAAAACAAAACTTTACGACAAAAGAGATGATTTCAGCTTCCTAATTTTGAACTTTCCATATCTATGTAGCAACAGTCTAGCAGCGCCTGCATTTGGAGTATATATCTCCATGTTGATACGATATTCCAGGGCTAGTATTTCCTGTCATTATTTCTTTGATAGAGGATTGCTCCTCACAAGGAAGCTATTAAACCAAGAGTTCCAAGTGGTGAAGTTAAAATCATCCCTTCGTAAATTTTACGGACGCCTTCACGAGTTACTAGTATGGAATATCTTTTTCATAGATTACGACAGATATGTTCCAATTGTCGTAACTACAATCCCGTCCTCTTATCCCCAAATGTAACCTACCTAATTACACTTATCATCGGGTTTGTCACATGAGCAACATGTCGGGTGCCACATGTGGAGCAGGATCTGCTTACCCTTCCGGATCCCCTGAGATCACCCCCAGTTTTTTCGTGGGGTTCGTGTTGCTTAGTCTTCAGTTTTCTATGTTGTGTTTTGTGTACTGTTGTTTGTCTGTTTGTCTTTTTCTTTTTTAGCCATAGCGTTATCAGTTTATTTTCGACATACGAGATTGAATGTCCCTTTGGTATCTTTCGCCTCTCTTTTGTAAGCAAATAAATAAAACATGCATGAGTTTATGATATTTACTTTTCATAGTTATGATGAGAAACAAACATGTTATAAAATATTATTATTCACTTATGAATCAGGAGGGGGGGGGGGGGGGGGGGGGGGGAACAGGACAGATGGTAACTGTACCTTTTTATATGGTGGTCTTTGTAAAACAGATTTATTCACTTGTAACATGATATTAGGGACATATTGATGACTATGTGGACTAAAATACCGTTGAACACTGAACTTTAAGATAAAAGAGATGACAACATTTCAACACCGCCTGCATATGGAGTAAACGTATGTATATGTCTGCTACTCAGACATTATAAAACGTCAACAGTGTCTGATCAGAAAGTTGATGAACCAGGTTTATGTCAAAGAAAATCTCGTCCTTTTTTCTAAAAAAACTTCATCGAAAGATACCAGGACCTTTTCGATAAATATTCCGTATCAACTTCACAAATAATATATAATGGTCTTGAAGTATAGATTCTATGTACTGATGTTGTTTATCATCTTAATTACGTGTTAGAGAGTTCTTTTTATTTGTCTTTGTATATTTTTACCTTTACTGTTTAGTCCATTTGTGGTAATTAATCTCCTTTTGGCGTGGCTCGGTATTTATACAACCCGCCATTGTGTTATTGTATTATGGTCAAGTTTTGTATTCTTCTCTTTCATTTTTTGCGTATGTGCTTTGTGAATAGAGTGTCGATATGCCATTTTGTTTTTGTTTTTTGTTTTTTTTGTTCTTTTTTTTGTGTGTTTTTTTGTTTGTTTTTTGTTTGTGAGTTTTTTTGTTTTTTTTGTTTTTTTTTGTGTTGAAATAGTTAATTATTTTTATAGTAATTAAGATTATAACATAATGTTGACTGCTGCTGCACCCCGATTTTTCCATTTTTAACTTTTATGTCTGATTGTTTTGCTCACACATTCTTGTTGATATAATAGAATTCTATGCGACTATCATACTAGTGAGAGGTTTAGCTAGCTATAAAACAAGGCTTAATCCGCCATTTTCTACATAAAGAAATGTCTTTACCAAGTCAGAGATATGACATTTTTTTTCCATTCGTTTGATGTATTTGAGCTTTTGATTTTGCCATTTGATAAAGGACTTTCTGTTTTGAATTTTCATTGGAGTTCGGTATTTTTCGGTTATATATATACTAGTTCAGTGATAATGAACGCCATACTAAACTCCAAATTGTACACAAGAAACTAAAATTAAAAATAATACAAGACTAACAAAGGCTAGAGGCTCCTGACTTGGGACAGGCGCAAAAATGCGGCGGGGTTAAACATGTTTATGAGATCTCAACCCTCCCCCTATACCTCTAGCCAATGTAGAAAAGTAAACGCATAATGGTTATTTCCTTGACGGAGTATCATATTGAATAGAAAAGTTGACGTCATGCGTTCGAAAGAATTTAGTCCATAGTGATGAAACAACGAAAAAAGGTCAACCAGGTATTATTTACCAATACAAAAATAAGGGGATGCTTTATGATGCATGCATGCATTTGAAAAAGGGTAAACCTTCAACAATGTAGACAGGCAATTTTCTCGATTACTTACAACTTACTATAAGAAGAAAAACGATTGAAAGACAGAGACAATTAATTACGTGCTTTTTGTATATTGATAGGCTTTCAAAAAGTTAAATCACAAAAATACTGAACTCCGAGGAAAATTCAAAACGGAAAGTCCCTAATCAAATGGCAAAATCAAAAGCACAAACACACCAAACGAATGGACAACAACTGTCATATTCCTGACTTGGTACAGGCATTTTCTTATGTAGAAAATGGTGGATTGAACCTGGTTTTACAGCGTTAAACCTCTCACTTGTATGACAGTCGCATCAAATTCCTTTATATTGACAACGATGCGTGAATAAAACAAACAGATATAATAGGTAAAAATGTCAGAATAAGGGTACAGCAGTCAACACCGTGTCACAATCTTAATCACAATAAAAACAAACAAATATTTAACAAAGAAGCACAAAAAAGCATATATCACATTTAACAACCTCGTTCATTGCTTACTTATTTTTGTATTTTATTTATTATATGCCAAATCAACCCATAAAGGATCGAGGGATTTTAAGCATTGGGACTAAATCTTAAAAGGTTTCAACTTAGTAAAAGGTATAACTAATTTGTCTTTCTTTTTATAAGTATCACTCTTTTAATTACTTATTTTTGCTACAGATTTAAGGATTATCCAACAGCAGGAGGGGACAATAATAAATACTCATGGAATCCTTGTAATAATTTTGAAGAAGGTCCAGAGAATGGAGGATGCATCAATGTCGGGGTAGGTTAATCATGCTATTTATTCATATTACCTTAGTTTAAATAAATTTTGTCTTACATTTTATTACAGCAGATATAGACCTTTTCAGAGAGTCATATTCGACAACCTGAATCAGAATTAATTTTTTTTCTGATTTACACGGTCAACAATTAAAATACCTAGAAAATTATAGTACATGTATATTTAAATGCTTTGGAGTCAATTGATGAAAACTAGTTTCTTAGCAATTAATAATGTATATAATACGGTATGCATGCCTTAAATTAATGCCCACCGAAATTTGATAAAGTAATTCAGAATTACAAAAGTGCAAGAGAAAACAATAAACAATGTCAGGAATCGTTATGAAGTATCAACATTTCATGCGTATTTCTAACTGACGCTATCTAATCAATTTATCCAAAAAAATAGCCTATCTTTGTTTGTACATGCATACATATCTACTGGTAAAAACCTGTCTTTTATATCAAAATATTATTGTTTGTAGTTTCTTTTCTTAAATGAGAAAGTTGTAAGCATAGAATATATATGAAAGACAAAATTCCAATGTATCGTTGCCGATATTTCTATGCAGAAAAAAATTGAAAACAACACGTCTAATAATTTCATGCGTCCGAAGCGCTTTTCTGGATTTACCTTCATCAGGAACGCTCAAAGCCAAACATTTGAAATCCGAGGGATGTATAAGACCAATTTACTATCAACATCTAAACCATTTTATTTGGTAAATCTTAGTAACACTTTATAACCATTGAAGGGACCGAAAAGTGTCCTTAACATACCCTTTGCAACATTTTTACTTTTCAATAAAGAAGTATAAAAAGTCAAAAGATAAGACATTCAGACGAACTTAATGTCTATGTCAATTTATTTTAAACTACAGTGTTACTTAAAGACACACGACAGTTAAATTGTTCAAAAGAAAAGGGAAAACAAAAGAAAGATGGAAATTTATAGTATTAGCTAAATTAGAGCATCATTGAAAAATGACATAAATGCTGCCGATAAGTCTGCTGTTTGTCTGTAACATTTTTTTCTCATATTGCAGGCATGTAAAATTTCTCCAAATGGTACTTACACAGGACTTGGACAGTCTAATTCAGTAGAATTTTCTCATGATGATAATGGTAACTTGTCTCTGGTAATGACTCAACAAGACGGTGACAACAAGATGTAAATGATTTAACATTAGTCAAAAACAATGATTTAGGGACTACCTTATAACAGTGATGATAATACTAGTATACAAATTTATGTAAATGTTTTATGCAAAGAATAATAGTATAACATTCAGGTGACTTGGAATTTGTTCCATCAGAAAAAGTAGCATATTATACACTTTTAAATTACACCAAAGTTTTTTTATTACCAAGTTTGGCTTTGATCGTTCCTGATGAAGGTAAATCCAGAAAAGCGCTTCGGACGCATTAAATTTATAACGTGTTTGTTTTCTTTTTTTAGTTGGCATGGGCGTTATTTCATCAAATATACTTTGATTGGGCGTTCCTGATAAAGGCAAATCCGGAAATGCGCTTCAGAAGAACCGAATGCATCATGTGTTATTTTCATTTCATATATTTTGATTGATATTCCCAATTTCTTTTCTTTGTTTTGCAGAGAAACACATGTTATTTTATACTGTGACGAGAAAAGGGATGCAGCATTTCGTGTCATAGGACAAGTAACTGATCGAATTTATGTTAGTATTTTACAATTTAAAAACCAGTGTACATTCAAATACCTTTAAGCAGCTTTGTAACAGTCTTTATCCAGTTACATAAACCATATACAGAATTTCAAATGTGACCTACCTTTCAGAAAACAATATACTAATATAATTTGAAAATTATCATGCTTTTTGCTGTACATTATTTTTTTATATTTTTGAATTTTCAATTATTATCGTAATTGTTTTGTTTAATTGAGGACTATAATCTTTAAATTGCATACGTTTTATATTCTTTTTTACATTTTACCCAAATTAATGTATTAATGCAAAATGTTGTAGTGGTTGCAACTCTGGTCGAAGTACAATTGCCCGAGTCTTATGAACTCTGATGATATTGTTACCATGCCAGCACCAGGATCCATTACTGAACGCATGCCTACCATGCCTTCGCCGGGCGTTGTTACAATGACATCCTCTCCTTCTCAAGATAAGAGAACTCTTAAAGATATTGAAATCATTCTTTTTTGTATATTGTAAGTTTATGACATTTGTAGTACATATATTTGTATGATTTTTGATACTTGATTATTATCAATTTAGATATGATTTATAGATGTGTTTTATTACAGATAAAATATGTTTTTATTGTCCAAAAAATGCAATCATTATGTGACAATGTAATACTTTGTTCACAGAAAATAAACAATAAGTATTCCTTGATGCCTTGACAATGAATCATTGTTTAACTGGATCTGTTTGATTATTTTGATTGGCTACAAATTTGATTTTAATTAATTAATTTAATGGGGCCAATGTTACAAATTATTAACTCTTGAGTATATTTCTTACGAACACAATCGATGCAAATGGCTAAGCGCGCACGTGTTTGGAGCATTTGTTTCTAACATACTTTTAACATACGTAAGAAGTTTGCATAAACTTTGACAAACTATTCACTCGCTTAAATTGTGATCATGATATATAAATATATATATTCTACTATTTACTTATAAATATATATATATATTATATATCAGTACAAAGGTTGCATTTGCTTTTAACTTCAATTATCAATTATTCACACGTGATTTTGTAATCCCGATTGTCATACCTTAAACAATGTCAAAACATGACCCAATTTTAGGTATTGTCCTCTTTTGTATAATTGTAGCTGGTGTTTTTTATGAAAGAGTCTCATCATCATTATCTGCAGAAGATCCGAAAGACGAAGACAAAAAACTGTCAACAAAAATATCTGTGCATTGAAGAGTATGACGATATCGTCAGTGTCGCTCTTTGTTTTTCTTCTTTTGCATCGTTTAACAAACGATAACAAATGAAACACGTTAACTTTAGTTAGAAAGCAATGCACTTCCTATAAATAAAGGAGATACGTCAATGAGCTTACAACACAAAACAAGACATTAAAAACATACATTTGTATATTGCGTGTCGAAAAAACGGTTAAAATAAAAATAAATAATTTTTTCGATCTATTTACTATTATAACATGCTATTTATTTCAGAATGAGTAAACGTTTTACTTGAACACAGTATTCTGATTTCTTTTATGTTGGCTTTATTTGTTTTTCATGGTGATGTTCACACTCATATGTGTTGTTTTAATTTACTTTCAGGGTGATTGTCACTCTCATACTTGTGGTTTTATTTATTTTCAGGGTGATTGTCACACTCATACTTGTGGTTTTATTTATTTTCAGGGTGATGGTCACACTCATACGTGTGGTTTTATTTATTTTCAGGGTGATGGTCACACTTATACTTGTGGTTTTATCTATTTTCAGGGTGATGGTCACACTCATACTTGTGGTTTTATTAACACGATATACAATCAAACTCCGAACAAGTAGAGAAGAAACCATTGGATACACTCGACTACCACAATATGACGCTCAATTAATTATACAGGAGTCAAAATGATGTATTCTACACAGTGAATTATTGTTAATTGGTGATCCTCAAATAGCTAAGAGATATTTTGTATAAAGAAATGGATTTGTTTGAATTATTTTGCCAATGACTTTATATGCGATATGAAGATCAAAGTTAATTAAATATTCTTCTTCATAGAACGATGATTAGGAAGAACATCGTTACGTTACTGTACAACATTTCATTGTTTTAATAATAATACTATTTTTTTAGTTGAGCAACAATTTCAAATTTAATATTGCCAATGTACATTTTATATTTTAATTTGTCAGTATTGCAATCATATCAAATAAATGACAGGTAGCTTTCTCGTTTGAATTACTTCTCATTTTTCATGTCAGGGCTGTTTATAGCCGACTATACGGTATGGGGTTTTCTCGATAATGAACGACGACCGGTAGCCGATAAATGCTTACATCCACTTCATTTGTACTCTGGTGGATAGATCAGAATCCGGATTAAATAAATATACTGTTTACTTATATTTTGGCATTGCATAAGGTCATGCGTTTCTCACTGTTTTGACGTCTTTACACTAAATCCGTTGGATGTGTACAGATTTATACTTTAGCCTGGAAGAACCTGATTTATTTATTAGTTTTAATTGGCTTTGAACTAGCTTTCAGCAATTGCAAGTACTCTTATTACGGTGAATTGTGTCTATTGCTTTTATGTTTTAATTTTTATGCCTCGTACCGATCTTTTGAGTCAATGTCAACTGATTTTACAGTTTGTTCTTATGTGTTGTTACACCAATGTCCCAGGTAAGGGGGAGGGTTGAGTCCTCACAAACATGTTTAGCCCCGCCATACTCTTTATATGCCTGTCACAAGTTAGGAGCCTTTTGTTCATAGGTTGTCGTTGGTTCATTTCTGTCATATTTGTTTTTCGTAAATTGTTTTCTCGTTTGAATTATTTCACATTTGTCATGTTTTTTCATGTCAGGGCCTTTTATAGCCGACTATACGGTATGTTTTTTTTTCTTGTTATTGAACGAAGTCCGGTGGCCTATAAATGCTTACATCAACTTGATTGTGTATTCAATACTAATATCATTTATCAAAATAGTTTAATTCATTTTTCAACAAATGTTAATATCATAAAAATAGCATTGGTCATCAATAAAATAACAAAAACATTGTCAATACATTCTATTAATATAATCGAATAACTCTTAGGTCAGCACCCCAATTTTTGAATGCTTGTTTTTGAGTCAATCATGTACAAAAAAAGAAGAGAAACAAAGTTACAATCTGACAAGTGTATATGCATAAAGGAAATCTTATTTGAGTCCTGTTTGCCAAAATATGACGGCTTTGACAGTTAATAAAAGTGCAAATCCAGGTAATTGCAGTTTATTCGATAATAAAACCGCAGTGGAATACAAAATTTATGCCAAATAAGATATTGTGCATATTTTAGAGACTGCTAAAATTAATTTTATTAGAGTATGTATGCAGCATTAAAGTTAAAGGATGGAAATGCTTTTTTTTTTACTAAATCTTATACGGTACTTAAATCTGGATCCAGATTCCATTTGAAGTTTTAAGTTATCTTGTTTAATCAAACGTATATTTTGAAATGTTATTTTTGTTTAGTTTGTCAAATGATAACACCAAGGAAAATCTGAGATGTAATAAAATTAGGACGCTTTTTATTCGAAAATTTCATTTTCTACTGATATAACTTGGAATGTTTCACGTTATTTTACGTGGATTCGTATCAAAATTTTCATTTTTTTTTAAATTTATTACAGTTTAAGAGAATATTAATATTGCAAAGCACCAACGATCAAAATAATTCAACTTTTGTTTTACATTCCTGCTACTATTAATAAGACAATATACCATTCATTTCATATAAACGTAATACTATGTTGGAATAAAGAACAAACATACAAAAGTAATTTTTTTGTTTGATATTTTTTCCTTGTTTTTTTTCCTTGTTTATACAAAATTTAGATGATCGTCAAGATATTTGTAATTGAGAAAAACAACTTGTATACAATTTGGTAAACAGTATCATTTCAGACTAAACAATGATATTAGAGTTCTCATATCACGTTAAAAAATGGTTTGCAAATGATGAATTAGTTTTAGTTTGAAGGTTATTCTCCATATCTTCTTCTATATGAATTTGGCATTAAAATGATTTTTTAAGGAAAGTAAGTCTTAAAGGCATTAGCTGTGATTTAGACGAAAAATTAAAATACGATTTTTGTTATTTGCAACAGTTATAAAAACGGAATAACGAAATACGATTTCGCTATTAGCAGTCAGTTTGGTTTAATTTGATCAAAATAAGATCGAAAACATCACAAATGAATTATTGACTTGCAAGTCAATAATGCAACCACAGTTGAACTCGTATGCATGTTACCCAAACTTGATATTTAGCTGACGATGGGTTACACATGGCCTAAGCGTGTTCAGTAATTAAATAGAAAAGAATTTCAACATTGAAAAGTAAAACAAGGGAGCCACCATAAAACACAGGTCTTCCATCGATTCGGCCCACACGAAATCATTTGTAACCAGGTAAAACGATGATCTATATTTTTGAATGTAGGACATGAAATCTAACTGACCTGGAAAAATTGTAAAAACACAACCCTACGTGCTTCTAAGCCTATTTATATTTATATTGATGTTTACATCGGGTCGAAGTCTCAAATACGCACGAAATGCTGATACATTATAACAAGTGCATTCATTGTTAATTGTTTCTTTTGGAGTTTTTGGAGATTCAACTTTGCCATCAAAACGAAGAAACTAAACTGTATGCATTTCAATTACCATTTCTGTATTTTGATAATTACTAATAAGAACAACCCGTTATTATTATTCTCATTTCTAAGCGTAATGTTATGTGAACATTTCGTTTCGTGGAGCAACATCTTCAGTTAGAATAGATAGTACTTGTTGAGTTCGTTTTACATGGTCAAATTCTGGAATTTCATGTACTACATGATGTCTGATGTGTGCATGGTCTTTTACTCGGACCTTGTTCGTTGAAAACTGACAGGATCTCTTTTTCACCCATACTTTGGCACCAGGTAATGGCGTTACTGGCTCTTCTTTCTGAAAATTTAGAATATCATTTTGTATATAAATTAAACATGCTGTTTCATATGATAGAATGGTTTACAGTTTTTAGTGAAACTTATCTTCTTTGGTAAAATATCAGGATAAGAATATGCTTGTCGCTTCATAACACAAGGTTACAAAAAGTAACCTTATCATATTTTTTTACCACGAAAAGGAACTAAATAAAATCATGCAATCCTACACGAAAAATACTGTGTTTCTGTCGTTTGCATTAAAGCAATATTTTTAGAGGGTAGGTATACACAAGTGTATGAAGAGGTGACTTCTTAAGTAGTTCTCTAATGATTTGTTTTACTGAAGACATCATTCCCTCATGCCTACTATTAAAGTCGTCTGAATAAGAGTCTGGTATACAATACACATAAGTAATAATGCATTACGAGGAAAATGGGGACAATATAAAATGTAAAAGACTCAAATAGCCGGATTGCAATACTTATGCTTTGCTATTGAAAGGAAATAGAAATTTCAAGGTGTCAAAACAGGGTAAACACCATCACCAAGTTGCGGAAATTCAGGATTAAAGGCTGCAGAAGTTTAGTACACATAATAGGTACCCACAATCCAAAATGCTGTTAAAAATTGACCAAGATTTCATCATATAGAAAATTTGAAAAAATTATTCAATGGGTACAAAAAGTAAGATGTACATTTCAATCCGTATTCAAACATTAAAAGATGGCTCTAGAAGGAAAACTGAATGATGATTTGATTATACAGATTTTGTATCCTCAATCGAGAATGATGCTGCAAACTGACTAAGTTTCAGCATCCAGAAAATCACTATAAATTATCCAAATGTATACACACATTGAGATGCATATACAAACGTCGCACAAAGTTTAAAAACACTGTGTCGATAACTGTAAAAGGAGTTGATTTCCTTACCGTCCGCTCTTCATATTACAAAGCGGACTTCTCTTATCAGGTAAATTTCGAAACAGTGGAGTTGTCTTTCTTTTTACAATGAAAAAGATACCGATTTCAATTACACCATTCATTATCAAGACTCAATTCACAATTTCAAGAGGCACAAGACACTTCTGTTATTGATTCAAATTCTGTAAAGTACAGATTGGTTTCAATAACAGCCTTAAGACTCAAGTGTCAGAAAAGATTTGAAATTCAACTGTAAGATTTTCATTTATTGTTATATACTCAACCAATTGTGCAGAATCGACGAACTCACAATTATAAAAGCTTTTACAGATACGAATTAGTAAGACAACTCCTCTCATTTTACACTGACGTCAGACATATTTTTTATCCTTATGTAAGATAAATTAATATACTTACTGGGGCATCAAATCTTGCCAATTTAGGTAACTTCATTGTCTTCAGACTCTTTGCTTTCCCTCCATACTTAATATGAAACGCTTGTATTCGACTTTCTAAAAGCCGTAGCGTTGGTTCACTAGATTCAAAATCAAACGTATCTGATACGTTATCTAGTGACGTTGCCGTTAACCTTGACTGAATACGCTTATTTACGAATTTCATTGCGTTACCCCATGTCTCGCTTTCCTCTTCTTCCCTTCTTGGAGTAGTTTCTTTTGAAGTTGCTTTTTTCTTTTCTTTTACTGGTCGTAACTGAGGCAGAATTAAACGTTTTTCGCCATCTGATTCCTGTTCTAAACTCATAACAGTCTCTACATTTTCTAATCTATTTGAATTTATTTCAAATTCCTCTTTATTTTCAGATGTCTGAGTATTTTCTGTGTTTATATGCGATTTAATCATTGGTTTTGAATTTACTTCTGCTTTAGGTATAGGACTATACAATAGAATTTCTTCTTCAGTTCTCTCTTCGTGAATAGCTGGTAAATCTAATTCACTACGTTTTAGTTCCGTTATAAGCACCGGTTTCCCCAACTTTTTTTTATTTTCCACTGAAGTGGTTTCCTGGGATTTGTTTAGGCCTGAATCAGAACTTGCAACTGTATCAACTGTAATTTTTATAGGTGTGGTTGGTTTTTGTGTTGACGACTGCTCTGCAATATCGTTGTTATTACTATCTGATTGACTGGCAGATTCTGACTTGCTACTTGCTATGCTACCATTCTTTTTCTTAAGCTTTGTTTTCTTTCCTTTGACGCTATCAGCAATGCTTGATGCAGATTCGTTTGTTGAATCAATTAGATGCTGTTCATTGTCGACAGAATATTTCGATCCTGTTTTCTTTTTCAAGCGTTTAAATTTCTGTTTAGATTTCTTATTTTCCATTGTAATTACTTCCGCTTCCATCATTTGTTGAAGGGATTCTCGAATTGCCATTAAACTCCTCGGTTGTTTTCGAGGACTTCTCTTCATAGCCCTGAGATTAGCCGCAGTGCTATCGTCGGTTCGTCTACTTAACTCACGTGCTTTAGCTTTTTCCAACATTAGTTCCTTGTAATAATGGACCCCAGGAACAACTGGGTCAACTAAAACAGCCTTGCCTTCTTTAAAAAGATTCAATAAATGTTTTGTTTGATATTCTTTGTTAGGAAGATGTTTTGAATTCTTAAGGGGCGGAAGTGGTTTCTCAACTGGAAGTGTTAACGCTGTTAATTTGAAATGCAAGTATGGAAGCAATGGCACTAAAGGTCCATTTTTCATTTCCATCCTTGTTTTGAGCTTCGATTTCACATATTCCCTGATTATATCTGTAGTATTTGTATTTTTCTTTCCTACCAATCTTTCAAAGTTTTTCGTATCTAAAATAAACACTTCCGTATTTGCTGTGCATTTTACTGTATAAAGGTATGTATTGAGATTCATTAGAATCTCAGTGTCACCAATTACTTCTCCAGAGGTGACACTACAAAGATCAATATGACGTTCCTTCATTCTGCGTTCTATTGCGGCATATCCCTCGGTTCTTCGTATAACAACATCTTCGGACTTTGTTTCCCACACTGACGGATCCTCGTATTTTCTAAGTATAGCTTGTCGCCTAGGTTCCCTGCAAGATAAAGACAACTGTATCATATATAAATCGAAATCATTCTTCAATAAACTGATTTGTTTTCCTCAAATTATAATCACAGAACTTATCGCAATTGCATTTATACTTAAAACTATTTGTCATATTATTGATTATATTTCTTATAAATAGTATTTAAATTTTCGTCGCTTACACAAAAACATGCAACATATATAACATGAGAATGTACCTGTAGTAACATATTTTAGCCCGCCTGACCACAGGACACTTGAGCTATTGCCTTTGAGTTTTCAAATTTTAGGATTCAACGTTCCAACAACTTGCACAATATATGGCGTCAATAATGCACGGAAGACATAAAAACATGCGTTTACTTTTTTGATTTAACTTATGAATGCATTTCTAGATTTTGGTTAGTCAATTTTCAAATGTCTATTTCCTCTAAACCATCCGGGATAAATCTTTGTATAAGTGATTACTTATTCTGCACACACTTTTATAACATATCCTAATCGTGTCGACGTCATGCATGGTAGCTGTCATGCTACATGTGTTCCCGTTGTATCCTATTGGTAATAAAGTATTCATGATTTTGAAGGAATGTCAGACTGTACTATTTTTTCTGTCTATGAAGAAATAACATCAAGGTTATTTCGAATAGACAGAAACAAGTCATTTCTTAAAATTTAATTCTAAACTCCATTTTTACGGAGTAAATCACGAAAAAACGTTGATGACGTCACGGTCACATGACAAAATTATGTCTATGAGCTGATAGACAAAAAACTTTCAGCCTATCAGAAGACGTGTTACATCCAAAATTAAATTATATTATGAAGGTCGTTTCTTAAAATGTCTCATTTCTGTCATTTTCGTTCGCTGCGTTCACTCGACAAAAAGCTTCATATTCTGACTCGCAGCTGGTTTTTTTTTAAATATAAATATGCAGACAACCTGATAATCGATACAAACAAAGCAAATGAGGTCCCATTTGACGTTTACATTATGATTATTTCATAGTAAGAGTAAATCCTATCAACGCATGTTCGATTGAATAATATCCCCTATTTTTTTTTTCGGTTCAGACTGTGATGTCAAAAAATTACCAAAGTGAGCAATTTATGCTCTTTGGTGCCAATAATTTACGTGTTTTCAAGTTATCTAGTTTATTTTGCATATTTTATATAGTCTTTAGTGTTCTATGTTGTGTCATCTGTACTATTATTTGTTTGTTTGTCTTTTTATTTTTGGCCATGGCGTTGTCGGTTTGTTTTCGATCTATGGGTTTGACTGTCCCTCTGGTATCTTTCGTCCCTCTTTTATAATACATTTGCTTGTATTGTGAACAATATATCAACTAAACTACTAGTAACCATTAGATATCAAATGAAATAGAAACAAATAAATAGCCTGCATCTACCTTATATAAACAAATATGGAAAAGGGTTCTAACTATGGTAATGTCTGGATAAAGTAGTACAATAAAACAAAATAAAATTTCATAAACTATATTAACAAAATAATAACATAAAAATTGCCACTACTGTGTCCCTTTTTTACTTACTTTTGCAACTTCTTTTGTTTCCTTTGTGAAAGGCAATTTGTATATAAAAAAAAGTGTATTATGTATGCAATAATTAATGCTACATTGAATAGAAATATTTTTTTACTTGCAACAGTTGATTCTATAGCAATAGTCTTACATTTTTCAAAACGATTACTAAATGCTACCGAACTTTTTTCGGGGAGCATAAAAATTTCAAGGAAAGCAAAACAAATGACGAGAATAAATAGATTATAGTGTTTTCTACGTATAGATATCGTAAAATATCAGTCGCTCGTGAAGATTTTTGGCAAGTTCGCTGCCAGTTCCTACGATAGTCCAAGTCTTGCGATCCTTTGATAGTAGATTTCTGATTATAAAGAAGCTATTGAAAACAAAGGATTTTAAATGGTATATTCGAAAGTTTTAGAGAAGCTTTTGCAGGGTGCCTTAACACCGCTTATTATCGTTTTTAACAACATTGTTCACTTAAGTATTTAAGCTGTTGAAAATAATAAATATAACAATATATTACCTTAAATACTCAAACTCAATGGAGTATATATCTATTCCTGCTTCAAATGGCCACAGCTGTGGATATTGTTTTGGATGTTTGTGTGGTTCTACGGTTATGTTGGCCTGTCCACTGTAAATATACATATTATTTACTGTTTAAAGTCTTCAAATTTGTCTGGATCACTGATATTGTTCACTTCCTTAAGTTCAGTAATTAGTTTTACATGTTTGAAACTTAAAATGCATGTTCAACTGAATGTTCAACAAAATGTGTGACTTTATTATTAAACCCCTAATAGTGAAAAAGTTATTCAAAACAATGGGCACGTGGTATGGTTGCCAAATAGACATGTTTTAAACTTCGACCATGAGACGAGGATGTAAACAACTACAGGTCACCGTACTTCCTTCAAAAATGAGCAAAACACATACTAAAATTGAGAATGGAAATGGGGAATGTGTCAAAGAGACAACAACCCGACCATAGATCAGACAACAGCCGAAGGCCACCAATGGGTCTTCAATGCAGCGAGAAACTCCCACACCCGGAGGCGTCCTTCAGCTGGCCCCTAAACAAATATGTATACTAGTTCAGTGATAATGGACGTCATACTTAACTCCAAATTATACACAAGAAACTAAAATTAAAAATGATACAAGACTAACAAAGGCCAAAGGCTCCCGACTTGGGACAGGCGCAAAATTGCGGCGGGGTTAAACATGTATAGTTAGCTTAAAAGGCACAGCACAGCATAGCAAAATATAAAACATGCAAAGAGCTGAAAACAATATTCGAAAAAAGTATAGCATACAGAAACCAACAACAACTGCTTGATTAAAGGCTCCCGACTTGAGTCTGGCACATAATGTGGTGACGTTAAACTTGATTGGGAACGTAATGTAATAATATTGTAATTATAGCATATCATATATTTTACATTTAACTTACCTATTTAGGAACATCATACCAAATACTGGATCACCTTGTCGGATTAAAATGGAGTCAAAGATAAAGTTCTCTTTCCTAAGACTCATCTCCAGCAGTTTCTTGAGTTTGGCTGGCATGTCACAGAAAAATGGATGAGTATCTATAAATCGTGAAATAGACGCAAACTCCTCTTCCTTGGAGGCCTATAATAAATGGCATATTGTAATTTTATTCCTGGGGTTTTTTCGCTGCTCTCATTATATTAAAATGAATGTACAAGATGCCATATATGAAAGTAAACACGTAACATTAACATTAAACAATACACGTTGCATTTAGTATCTTGGCATTTGTGCATTTGTTCTTGGTAGTCACTTAGATTAAAACCAGTTTTCGTAGAATTATATCTTATTATACTTTGCTATAATTGCATCGCTCTACATGTATATATTTTTGATTCGAAATGTTAAAAACGTATAAAAAGATTTGTATTTTCCATCGCCTGTTTTTCATTCATAATACCATTATCGAGTTTTGTGCGTATATTCAAATAAGTGACAATAAGTCAATCATGAATAAAAAAAAAACAGATGTGTGAGACACACAGACACTTAAAATAACAAAAAAAAAATACATCTAACTTAAATGTTCATTTTCTATTATATTTTCTATTATAGTGTTTACGATATTTAACAGTAAATAAATATCTATACTATATAATGTCAATGTCTACCTCTGTTGGTGGACTGTTAGTCCCCAAGAATATCACCAGCCCAGTGGCTCAGTACTTCAGTAATGGCATGAAAATGAATAGTGATTTATTTGTATTTGCTGTTATAAAAATAAGGAAATGATTTGACAGTAAGGAATGTTTCATACATGTGTATTGTTCAAATTCCTTGTCAGGATTTGTCCGTGCTCTTGTTCCTTTTTATAATCATCTCGTCAACGCTTTTATCAGGTGTTGGAACACTGAATAGACATCAATAGTAAAAATGGGCATCGGGTGCAATAAGAATCGTAACGTTGAATGTTGTTACTGCCGCTACTTATGCTAATTTGTTAGTAAGAAGTCATACCGTTAACATCATACTTTGTATTCTTATGCTAATATGTCAGTAAGAAGTCATACCTTTAACGATCTTTCATACAAATCTTCTCCAATTAACATAAGGTCACAATCTTCATCAGCAATGATAGTAGCATTTCTATAGGCGTCACGTTTTATCAATGCAACTTCCCCAAATGACTCTCCCTGTCCTATTTTAAAGATTATAGGAAGCACAAATCAATAGACGCATACCTCGGTGAGATTGCAATTGCAAAGAAAAATCATGAAATCGGAAAAACGGTCCTAGAAATAGTTCTCTCTACTGCTCACCAAGTTTGTTAATTGAGATATATTTCAATTTCAAAACCATTGTTAAACTGGCTGAAAATACAAACAGTTTAGAAAGGCAACTTACCTTTAGCTTTTATATACAACTTGATATGTATGATGGAGATTATTTATCAGACCCAATTTTACTTCTGTCAATCTTTAGTTTGTAGAAATGCTGTATTTTATTAGTGAGTTTTAGCTGCGTCTTACAGTTTAGATGTGAGAAATGGCAGACTATTGCTTAAAATATAGTGGTATATTGATGAATAAACATCAATTTGAAAAACATTACTTGTACTGGTTTTTGACTCAAAACACCTATTTAACCTCCTGGCCAATTATTAACGTTCTGCAACCATTTAAGTAAAATGCTTATTTTAAATTGCGATTAATTCCCTCAAAGCATACATGCATACATATTTATGTAAGTTATAAATTCTTTAGTTATTATGGTATTTCCATATCATCTACCCAGAGAGGTTATGGTATTTAAATCGAAATATAACAAAACAAACTATGTTATAAATATCCGTACCATATTGAACAATCATTTTGCCAAACTTTGTTCTGTCAAGTTCTTTGATTCTCTTTGGCTGTTTCTGTTGTTCTGTGACCCTCTTCTCTTCTTCCCCTGTTGTGTTTTCTTTGTCATCTTCTTCTGTTGTAAATTCTTTCTTTTCTCCTTCTCCCTCCTGTTTTTTATTCTTGTCGTCTTTGGTTTCAGATTTGGCAGATATTTTCCTAGCTGAGGTAGGTTTGTGTGTTGCTCCATAATCTTCCTCTCCAGTCATCCTTGGGTCTATGTATACGGAAACTGTTCCACTCAGTATGATATAAAAACTGTAACACATGGAAACTTCAATTGTTATATATTTCAGTAGGTCTTGGACTCGTGCATTAAATAAACCCTATACAATGTTATCTATATCTCAACACCGAAGATAATTTATTCGCTATGACATAAAAACTTTCTGCTTCAAAAATAAACATTTATCAAATAATTATATCCGTTAGAGTTTTTACATACATTGTAACTTTAGATTTTTGTCACATGTAAATATTGCAAAATTACTGATTATATTAAACCGATATAAAATCCGATACTTAAGATGAACATATATAGTGTTTATGCTTGAGTGAAAATATGTTGACTTTGAATTTTGAAAGTTTATTTTTTCTTCTGATACGTTAATTTATTGAATATATGGAAACCTTTTATTTAGTTTAATGTAACTTTTTTACTCATTACATCACATTGAAAAAGTATGTATATATAGCTCCATTCTTAAGATGGAATGCATGCGAATAAAAAAGTAATTAACAAATATTAACTATGTTATGCTATAAGGAAATTCTATAATTGGTATCAAAATTAAATGTTGCGTGTAAATCAGTATGAAATTTATATTTCTTTTTTAAAGCCCATCAATCAAATTGTGGCATATTGATAAAGAATGTTGTTTTTCAAATGTCGGACAGTTTGAATATTAAAACATGCTGAATATCAAAACATATGGAAGCTGAAAGAACACGTCTAAAAACATAAACTGAACAAATAACAAATGTTAGATCAAAACACAAACAAATAAATACATCGTAGATAAATTCAAAGTGTATATAAATTATTGTATTGATTTACTATATTATAATTTTCTTTTTGATTTTATGAAAACTACGATTTATTATTGACAAAATTAAAGGTATAAAATAAACAAGTATAAAGAGAATTTCGTGACAAATCAACAAATATGCAAGATACTGGTATGCTATAATACTTTGGGGCTTATTTAAAATTTATTGTTGCAAACGGTATTTAAGTATATTGAGAAAGGCTTGACTTGTAGTATTACAATGATATACAAAAAACGTTTACAGAAACTAGAAACCGGAGTTCTTTACATATATTTGCACAAAAAAACACCAAAGTTAGAACATCGTATATTTGTATGTTAAGGGTAATGTTTAATTCATAAAATTTGCAACAGGAAATTTAGCAAACTACCATCAATCATCAGATACATGAGGATGTGTATAACTTCCATACTTTTCGATATGAAGTGGAAAACAACATGCACCCCTTTTATAGTCACAAAAATATAGTTGCATGTTCAACCGTCATTTTGCTCTAATCAGCAAGCTGGTAACATATATCCGTTTCTTTATTGCTGTTCAAAATACAATACATTTATTTTGTGAGACTTGATACCAAAAATAAACGCCGCAGATTGTTTAAATTCTTGAATAATTATTTGGTTTTGCTGAATTCAATAAAATAAATACCAGTTAAATAGCATATCGGCATCTGAATATAATAATTACTCTTTAAGCAAATTACAAAATCAATCTTCATTTAAATTAACCAATACCGATATAAATAGCAATAAAAACAAAACATGCAAAAACATATCTGTTAATATGCTCCCTAAATACACTACCGATTTCATAAACTGTATTCATAAAATTTCTTCTTATCAAAATGATTTTTTAACAAAGATGAAAATAAAATGATGATATTTATAATCACCGATTATGCAAGAGGTGTAATTTTTATACAATATTTAAAAAATCTTGTATGTTACATATGAAACATTTCACTACTGCGTATTTACATGCGACTTAGATTTTTATTAATATTTCATGCATTTAAAATCCACACATCAAAGCCTGAGTTGCTGTAAAGTTTAGCAACGTGTCAACTGTATACCTACCGTGGCTCTATATCAGGATTCCTATAATAAATAGTCAATTCTTCAGTAATTGGTTAGTTTTGTAACATACATCCATAAGACGTAAGTAGTCCCTTCTCGATCTGATCGGACATTTCTTTCTCTCCCAAGGATTCCATATGTTTTAATGCTTAGAAATATACGTGTACATGTTGAAAGCTATGCAACGGTCTAATGAAGCACCGGCAAATAAAGTAAAATTAAACGACAACAGGAAGTTTGCCGGTTGGAGTTTCATTACATGTATGATACAAGCGAGTTCTCATATTAAACGTTTAAAATTTCTAATTAAAATGTTAAATGTCATAATTGATTAGCAATGCTTTTAAAATGCAAATTTGTTATGAACTATTGTAGATTGTTTTGTTTTTTTGTTTTTTTTTACAAATGTTGTATTTATATTCTAGCTCTTACAATTTAAGTGCAGGTTTAACAACCCTTTCTTTTGATATCGAAATGGATCCAATAGAGAATCATGAGTTTTGATAACACAGTATAAGAGTCATAAGTATTATGTTGACTTAAAATCCTTTAAAATTGACAGCTTAATTGGTCTCCTTAAAATGTGTTTATTTGAATTATTCAATACTTCTATTTAAACCAAATACTTGTTATATGGGACCCATTAACTTATCAATCTGATGAATTTGAGATTATTTATTTAGATTTAAAATACCTATGACTGGTTACGTATATTATTGTTGTAACTAATTGTACACTATAGAAAACTTCTACCTTATACTACAATATTGTAGAGTTTTGAGAACTTGTGACCTTGCTTTTCAAAGGTCGAGTGCTAATATCGACGTCTTCAATTCTTTATGTTTAATAAACGTCTTTATGTTTAAAATAGTTTGTTATTTAATTCAAATTAGCTTTTGTAAATTACAGACAAAACTATTTATTTTGACATGCATATTTTCTATAATTTGGTATATTGAGTAACTCTAGCATAATATCAAATTGCGTATAAATTGTCAATATTAAAGGGTACAATACCGCTTATTCGTGCTTAGTATTTGCTTTTCCACCCATGTATTATTCAAAGCTGTCGCCTGATAATTGTACTAGAAAATTATAGAAGAATTCAGCACAGCAATGTCTGATGGTACAAAAATAAGTAAATACAGCATACTATAATTGAGTGTATCGCTTCTTTAAATATCGTACATATACATGTTCCTGTAATATACTGTCTGGTGGTTGTCATTATCAAACATTTTGGTTATTTTTTTTACATGGAAATCAATCCTTTACCAAAACTGCATTCCATCACCAATCGTGTGTTCGCTGTTTTTTTTTTTTAAGAATTACTTAATGCACAAGTCTTCTATCGTACTTGACAAAAGCTATCGTTTGAAAGTCAACTTGAATATATTGCTCCTTTTTAGCTTACATGTTATTTTGTATATATTCAATTTTATTTGAATCAAATCGTCTTGTCCATAAACATCACTCAAACTTTATATGCACTATATGGAAAAGGGTGTAAAGCCAGTCTAAACTTGCTGTAACTGCTTTCTAATAGGAAAGGGATAAAGCACATATAGTTATATGTAAATAAAAGCAAGTCTTAATTTAACTTTTAACAGCTTTGATCATAAACAGATCAGTAAATTAAAGTGACCTGCTTTTATCTGTATTAGGAAACCAAATGAAGCAACTTCAAAATTTGTAGGAAAGGTATTGCAACAGTTCTAACCGTTTTCCGCTCAACTTATATTAAGCATTTACTTGAAAGCTTAAGGTTTCAGATCTTTATTCCGTCACCAATACCTATACCAACTCATATATACTTACAAACTTGATAGGTCACTGTCTCCCCATGTTAACAGTGGCAACCTAATATTTTCAAATTTAATGGCACAAGAAATTTATTCAGATTGCGATTGAGAATATTTTACTATAAAAAAGCTTATAACAATAAAACAAATAAATGTAATTGCTCGAAGGTTTTCAGGTTGAAATAGGAATTATATTACAAAAGAAATTAAATTTCTAAAATTAAATGTTCATGCAATTTGCAATTAGAATCATATATGTAAAGTTACCAACAAAACATTCATACCAACACGGGAAAAATGTTATAAAAGTTAAAATGTATATTACACCATAATTTTTCAACTAAAAAGCAATATACAGCATATATATACAATTCTAATTGTTAAAACAAAACCTTTATAACATCAGATAGGATATCAAACTTAATAAGGTTAAAACAAGTGATCGTGCAACTGCACAATGGATGTGATATCATCGTGAGGTTCGTAATTCGATTAGAAAACATTGCTTTTGATAGCTAAATAAAATAATACATTACAGCATTTTTACACTGGAAAAAAAGACAAATCAACATGACTAAAGCGTTTATAGCAACATCAAATCATCCCACATCCTGAATATACGTACCAGTCTTCATCGGAAGAATATCTGTCGGACAAAGAATACGAGTTTAAACAAGAGGATCTATAAATATGGGGATGGAACGTCACAAAGGGTAAGCATATCTATTAAAACACGCACAGAAATAGAACAAAACAGACGAGTACAAACGCTTACTCTAGGAAAGACCTTCACGAACAAACATAACATAGTTACAAACAATTAACATAACACAATTTTGTACTAAACATGAACATTTTTGCGCACTTCAAACAAATATAAAAAAACACTTAGTTGATGACTTGATGATAAAGTTAGATATTAATTGTATGACAAAACGATGTCAAGATTTGTCCTACAAACAACTTCGATGGCAATGATTTAGCTTGTACAGTTATTTAGGGGAAGATATGGTAATGTATTCGTAGTCTAATGTTTGTTAGAATTTCCAACAAACAGACAGGTCATGAAAAAAAACTAATACCGGAATGTATAGAGTTTGGAACAAAATACTTTTGTAAATATATATCGCATACTGAATTCCCATGTCAAGTAGTATCTACTATAATTACGGTTATTCATTTTTAAAAGATGGTGTTGTTAAAGACTTGATATTTTGCCGAAAATTATCAAAATATTTACTTTATGTTATCGTCAAGTCTTCGTATAATGAAATAAACTGAGGTTTGCCTTTTAACAAAAAATGTCCGACGTTTCTTATAAGTAAAAGAGCATCAACTGAATAAAATTCTCATAATAAAAACATAATGTTTATTGTAGTAATCAAGTGGATTGGAATACGCGTAACTTCACAAACAAACTTTAATTAACTCTATACAGATATATCATCCACTTAAAAGTAAACTCATTGCAGCTGAATTGAATTTAACAAACAGTAACATATAGTATAATGAAACATTACCACTGATGGAAAAATTATCAATGCCCCTTTCAATACGTCCTTTGGCGTGATTGATTTTCTTAAAAGTACTTACAACTTTGTACAACATGCGTATCAATAGATTTGTATGCAATAAATCTTCATTACTTTACCATCAAATCGGCGCAAGATTAAATATTTTATGAAATTCATGACAGGTACAAAATGCATGATAAATTAAATCAACAACATATTAGACAACTTCATGTATAGAAGTAAATTGCTATTAATATGACATTTAGAAAATGAAGGTCACTCTTATTGCAATATTTAAAGAAGAACTCATCTAGAAAAAAGACCGAATCGACACGTGCATTCATCTGAAGATACTGCAAATTACACCAGTACTGTGATTATTGAAACACGTACTGTTATTTTAAAAATTTTTAAATAATTTTTATAAAGTGTAATTGTTCAAATGGTTGTCAAAAAATATTTCAGTTTAAGAATTTTATGCTTCTTTTTGTAGTTTGTTCGAACGTAAAAGCGTTAAATGAATGGCATTTTGTATGAAGCACGAAAGCGATTCATACTAAAACTCAAAATTTACGCGAGCTAAACGCTTTTACATCCCTATAAAAGAGGGTTAAAGTGGTAGGACTAATTTACCCAAGATTTATTTTACCCCGGAGTGCCATTTTCAAACCAGTCTTTCAATTTTTACTTATATTCATAGTATCACAGCACGATCTGTGTCCTTGAAGGTTCTTACAATATTACGGTTTGTCTCTGAACAGATATTCTACTTACAAACAAATAAAGATTGCTAAAATCCGCAATTTTGACAGAGTTTGAATTTTTTCTAGTATTGATCCAACAATTGTATGAAAAGGGCATCGTCAACCAAAACCAAAATTATATTGGAACTTGAGCAATGCATACATTGTCTTTCGGATACAAATTAATTCATTTTGGTAAGCGGCTTCGTATGATACAGAATTTGACAAAGCATGTAAAATTTACCCTCGTGACCAAAAGAAATACCGTTGATCTGGTACCCTCGTGACCAAAAGGAATATGCTTCATAAGGTACCCTCGTGACCAAAAGGAATACCCTTCATCTGGTAACCTCAAGACTAAAAATTCAGAAAGCCAAAACTACCAAAACGAGAGCAAAAAACTAGAAGGGTCTAAACAGAACAGCTAAAACCGTATGAGGTCAATTTTGTTTCAAACCTTTGTTTTATAAAAATTGTATAATTTTATGAAATGAAAATGTACTAACGAAATGTATACATTTCATTTATGCCAATATAGAAGCACTGGGTACTCAATGAATAGTACCCACTGGAACTGATTGTCAACAAGAAGCGTATACCAACCCAGTGGTAGCTAAACAAACCCGTATGATATTATTCCGGTGCGCACATTACGTTTTTTGAAATAACCTTCAAGTAGGAGCGAGACCAAAAGCATAAAAAAGAAAACGTGTAAAACATGGTTATTTCTGAATCATTTGAGGACTAATACAACTCTTATAAAACTTTTTACTGCTGTCATAATAGTGGGAACGGTAATACGCGGGAAATAATAATATAAAAACTTCAGTGTATAAAATCATTTATCAAAACAATTTCTAAATGTTAAAATTACACATTAAAATGAAAAAAAAAATGACAAAACTTTAGCCCAAAGTTTTAACCGGGATTAAAAAGATCAACTACTTTTCAGAAGACATAATTTACAGTACTTTTGAAAACTTTATACTATTCTTACCTTGAATAACATGTCAGGCCATGATGAATCCCTTTAAATGTGTCGAAACTTCCTTTTTATCTAATTTTTAAACAACTAAATTGATGTATGAATTTACGTATCTTATAAATTCTCCGAGTGACTCTAGCGTATTTCAGGTCGAAGTTATCAGAAGTTTGTTTAAATAAGATTTTAAGGTTTGTTAAACACGTTACTGTAAACGTTCGATTTATATTTTGTTTCCATTGATCGTGTCTGGAGATCTATAGTATTGGTTAGTTATGATAAGATAGGGACAGAATTGGTAAGTTCAAGCTGACAAAAGCTTAGTCAGTCTTAAACAGAGGTTTATTGGTATAAAATTAAGGTCTGAATAAATCTTACAATAGCGTATCTCTTGTACTTATGTGATAGTAATCCCCTATGAAGAAAGTAATTGTGGTTTCTTTTGATGACTGCAAAAATGTTGATACGAATAATACAAGATATATGTATTATAAATGAATTAAATCAATGTATTTGTAACCATGGAAACAATTACAAAATTTAATACGATACTAAATATTTTCGGTACACATGTACAATATAAACCAGTCTCACTACAGTATTGAAGCACTGTAAATATGGTAAAACTGTACTAGTATAATAATAGTATTAGAACAATTATTATCATAGAGAAAAGCTAAACAAATTTTAATATAAACAAGTACATCAGGAAGTATTTTCTATAACCCAGATGTAATAACCGTACACATTGTGAACTAGAATGTGTCCATAGTACACGGATGCCCCACTCGCACTATCATTTTCTATGTTCAGTGGACCGTGAAATTGGGATCAAAACTCTAATTTGGCATTAGAATTAAAAAGATCATATCATAGGAAAAATGTGTACTAAGTTTCAAGTTGATTGGACTTCAACTTCATCAAAAACTACCGTGACCAAATACTTTAACCTGCCCACTCGCACTATCATTTTTTATGTTCAGTGGACCGTGAAATTGGAGTCAAAGCTCAAATTTTGCATTAAAATTAGAAAGATCATATCATAGGGAACATGTGTACTAAGTTTCGAGTTGATTTGACTTCAACTTTATCAAAAACTACATGGCCAAAAACTTTAACCTGAAGCGGGACAGACGAACGGACGAACGAACGTGCGCACAGACCGAAAAACATAATTCCCCTAGGTGTGGCATAAAAATGCCTTTTTTCAACCTGATATTATAGAAATGTAAATTTATTTCAGGTTGGTACTTTGATGAATTAATAATTATGATGAATACACAGGAATAGGAATATACATTATTTTTTCACGAAATTTTATTGGTGCGAGTACATCCTCCGATTTATCTGTGTTTTGTTCTAAATGTTTAAATATCACATGAATTCACTGATAACTTTTAATCCTTTATCAATGAAATTTAAACATAAATTTTGTCGATGTAATCTGTTTGAACTTACTACAGAACAAAACTTAACTGTAAGTTCAAATTGACAACCGTGAGATCCCCTTTCAAACTTATTTGTAATAAAATCAAAATGCGATTAGCTCAATTTACATAGCACAGATGTCAGTTGTGACATTTATTTTTTGGGACTACGGTATGGTGATGAGGACCTTTAAATGTGAATTCCACGTATTGATATCGCTAAAAATAAATTCAAATTAGAATACATTATAAATAAAAACTACAGTACATAGAAAAGCCCTTAAGTTCAATACAACATGAACATAAGGAGATGTGTGAAGAAAGACAGAAATCACACAAGTCAGCTTACAACCCAATCCTCCAAGATTAAGAAAGAAAATGAGATACTGTATATGTGTGTAGAATACAAAATCGTATTAAACTCCGATTATATAAGTGAAATAGATATGAACTACATGTTATATGAATTTCTGAGTAAAAAGTAAAAAAATTACCTGTCTCCACGTTCTCCTTGGCGAATAATGACGTCATCACGTTCATTTACCTGATGTTCACAGTGCTTAACTATATCCGTAAGGACAGCTGAAATAAAATGTGTCATGTCAAATCAGAAGGTTACTTAAAATATGACAGATATTCTTCTCAAAACATTTGAACATTACAAAGGGAGGCTAAATGAAGAATGTTGAGAGCTCATGAAGAGGGGTAGTTTCAAACAAATGTCTTTTCTACAATTTACGAAAAGTTGAGCGTGAGTATGTATTACACTAGACTGCTACCCGGTCGTTATTCGACACGTTTGATAATATTTGTATATTCCGAAGGCATACCTAATATTTTACGGAGGGAACCATTTATAGAATTCCTATATTTTGGCATTTCACGTAATGATTTTTTCCAAACACTTTGTGATCACTTTCACTAAATCCGTTGGAGGTGTCCTAATTGATAATTTAGTCTGGAATAACATGGTTTATTTACATGTATTAGTTTAAAGTTTAAACATATTTTATTTGCTAAATATCAGCAAAATGGATGAGACACAAGTAAATCATACTTATGAAGTCTTCCCCATATTACAATACAAGTATATATACAATAATAACATTATGAGCATGCATGTAAAGCTAACAAATTCATTAAATATTATACGAACTATAAATAAAAAGAAAAAAAGAACAAGAAGAATGGAAAAGGAGGAAAAGAAAAAGAAGCAAATGATATTTTCTGTGATGTTGACTTAGGTTTGATGGTGATGATCATCCGTGCCGGTAGCAATAATATTTTATGAAGGTACTAGAAATCTGCTAGACCTTTTAACAAAATCTTGAACATGTTTGAAAATTAGGAGATTTTGTTCATTCGAAAGTTCAAGATCTCCGCAAGTTAATAGTTTAGTATCTATAATAAAGTTTTCAGTAAGCCAATTAAGATTGTTAAGTAAAATTTCTCTACATGTAGTGTATTTTGGGCAAACTAAAAGAAAATGATGAACATCCTCAATATTAGACCCACACTGACACGAAGGATCCAGTATTATTTGAAATTGAGTTTTGAACTAGCATTCAGTAACCGCTGCGAATACTCTTCGATCGGTACTTTGTGACTTTAAAATTTGTCTGTTTGTGCCTTAGTACCTATCTGATGAGTCAATCCCTTTCCAGCTATTTTTTACAGTTTGATCTTATTTTGTTACACCATGTCCCAGGTTAGATGAGGGTTGACCACTCACAAACATGTTAACCCTGCCTTATTCTTTATATGCATGCCCAAAGCCAGGAACGGGTTATCTTATAGTTGTCGTTGATCGATGTTCTTCATATTTATATTCGTTTGTTCATATTCAAACCAGGCCGTTTGTTTTTATTTTGAATTTTATTTTATTAAAATATTTAAAATTTTGTTATGCCGGGCACTTTTATAGCTCATTCTCCGGTATGAGATTTGTTCATTGTTGAAGGCCGTTCAGTGAACTGTAATTGTTCACATCTTGTGGGTTTTAAATCCAACTCATCTAAAGCAAAAAACAAAGACAAACAACAACGAACAAAAAGTAGACCAGATATGTATGCTTCATGAATGACCTCAATAAAATGCAATTATACTATTTTTTATTTTTCTTAACTAAAATTGCTTCTGTGGTAGCTCTGTTAGCTAGATAACGTCACAATATCAAATGCATGGTAACAATATTAAAAAAAATGACTTATAAACTTTAGTTTTCAATGTTACTTACAGTATATTAAAAAGAAAGTGTGAAGGAAACTATCCACAAACCAAAGGATATAGATGCAAACAATTACAGGTCAACGTATGACCTGTACTAGGATAACAGGGAGCCGCACTGGAGCTCGAGATACAAACATGAAACACGATATTATTAATTTAACCATCCCTTTCACAAATGTAAAAGAGAGGCGAAAGATACCAAAGATATATTCAAACTAATAAGTAGAAGACAAACTGACTACGCCTTGACGAAAAACGACCAAAAAGACAACAAAAAAAAGTCTACACATAAAATATACGATGTATACACAGCAATAATTTTTTTTATAAGTGTATGTATAAGATTCCACAGAAATAGATCTTGGTAAAAAAAAGTATCAGTATATATCTAATCGATATTTCTTAAGTGATTTCTAGTAAAGTTTTGCAACTGGGCATCGTAAACACTTTTTTTTCTGTACCGCTCAAGGAACAATCCTTCAAAATTCGTTTTAACCCGCTAAACGGTTTCCAAAGGGAAGATTTTTTTAAGTAAATAGCAATAATGCAGTTAAAAAATCTTACGTGTCACAAGTCATCAAAATCTTGAAAGAAAACCTTGTTATTTAACTGTTATTTAGGATCAGTTTCATTTGTATCCTGAATCATAACCAACATGATAAACATTACATAATATATAATAGTAACAAACGTTTTTGAAAATAATTGAAAACCCTTTAAGTATTAAACTGGAGAAATGGAAAATGTTTACTACATGATAAACACTAAATTTCCGTTTCAATGTTTTCTGTAAGTACAGAAATATTCTATGTATCCGAAGATCAAGACACAGAGAACAGGTATTCAAGAGGAGATGAAACAAGGGGTTGTTTACAATGCATCTGCACTTTTCATTAGCCTTAGCCATGAATGTAACCACTACAATAGGACGAGATTGTGAATTCGTGAATCTTGAACAGTCAATTGTTCTTTCCAACGTAGCTTCTGTTTTATAATGTCGTTCATGCTTAAACTTCCTTATCAGAAAGTTTAGAAAAGTCCAAGTGGCAAAATATAAAGCACAAGCTATTATGTCGCCTTGGATTACTTTCAGATTGACGCAACGTCTTTTTTCTACACGAAAGCCTAAGCAAGAAGTCTCTAGTCTCTGCAATATCAAATTTCAATAGATGGTTCACTATCAATATTTGAATTCTCAAATTTAAATTATTTTACTTCCCTTAGTCGAATCATATACTCAAAAGGTCTGGAAATTTTATACTATCTAATACCTTGTGAGAACCTTAAATGATAAAGGCAGATGCTACGCACATTTTTTTTTTCATACTTTACCATACAATTATTGTTTTATGCGAGAGTGATCGGTTTATTCAAAGTCCATAGCTTTTTATGTCTGAATATAAAATCCTTGTGTAAAGAATTCAGATAATTAAAAATGCCAAAATATATCGACAAGATTTCTTCTAGTATTTATTAAGTTTGACACCGATAATTTAAATGAATACATTAAAATGTATGTTTATAAAAGTCTTTCCTCTGTCATTAAACACCGTAGGCATCTTTACAATTTAAATTAAATTTTGAACTTTAAACCTTGTCTTTCATTAAATTTTTTCAAAAGAACTTGATAGAAATAGCAAGACTTACAACTTAAATTAATAAAAATTCAGTTCACGCTGATTAATACATTTCCTAAACATATTTTCTTTAACATAGTATGCGTATTAAATTTCTTCTAAAGTCAGAAAATGTTCAATATATCAAACAGAAACAAGGCTATCCTCTTAACAGCAGCGATGAGTGTTGATCTTTTAATTGTACAACTAACTTTTTCGAAAATGTATGGCTTGTGTTTAGCCTAAAATAATTTTCCATGGGAAATTCGTGCATGGTTCCTTTGAAATTAATAACTTAACCTCATATGCTTTCTTTGTAGTGATAATGTCAATTTCGATTTTAACAATGATGGCATTCATAACTTAGAATAACAAAAAACTAATCAACAACTGACTGTGTCCTCTGTGCCTTTTTTGGATTAACCTTCATCAGGTAGTATGTTCATGAAAAAAAGTCGATGTATGAAAAAATGTTGGACATGAAAATGACTGAAACAGATTGTTATAACATTACTTAGTGGGTAATTGTAAATCCTCAACATTGCATACTGATATCAAACCAAGTAAAATTAGTTCCAATATAAATATAAAGTAAGGAGATTGTCCTGGTGGAAATTGTTTACATTGTTTCTCTTGTATTGTATGTATGGTGTAAATAGTATGATACTCAATATTATAGGTATTTATATATATCTACTACCGGTCTACATAAAACAGTACCAACTTTTGTTTCAGGACCAGTCGGTTAACATTTATTTAGATCTTTTAATATCGAACTCCGAGACTGTAAATAGTTTTTAAATATAAACTTTCTTTAAAAAATCAATATAATCATGAAGTAAAATTATAAAGGAGTAAAGTACATAATGCGGCCTTTTTATTTAAGATGTTTAGAATCGAAGAAACATGCTGATTTTTGTTTTTAAATTTCAATAATTAAAATCAATTAAAATGTCAATTCTAGGAATTAACAAAGTAATGAGTTTGATAGTGGTTACTATAAAGATATGTAGCTCATAATAATCTGCTAATTGTTTCCAAAACTATATACCACAGCTGAGCTAATATTTTCCGATTTCAATCATTTTTAAGGAGATTTAAATGGATGACAATTCTAATTGATCGTAGACCTATATTGTACAATGTCCTGATTTTAACAGTACGTGTATATGATCAACAAAATTTGTTATTATCATAATTATCGAGTTTTGTATAGGTTTAATATGTGAGAGTCCATTCTGTTACTTATAAAATTGTATCATATCAGGTTTTGAACACCCATTATAATTAACAAATAGTCAGTTTTAGGTTGTTTTTCTTTTTGTTATCATCATGACTAAATATGTTTTGTTTATCAAAGTACAAGTATAAGAAGCCACATATAACTTCAACTGGGTTATGCTTACTCCCTTCCTTCCCGAAAAAACAAAGATTAACAAACACAAGGGTACCTTTTTAAAATTCAAATTATGAATTTCGTAATTAAAGGGCCCAGTATACTATTAGATGTGTAAAACAAAAACAAAACAAATACAATAACACTATGATAGTATTTAATACATCTATTCACAATGACTACATTATTATTAAATAAGGAGTCGGTCTTCTTGTAGCATGTAATGAGGGATAACTCTATCGCGTATCTAGAGATCATTTTCAAAATGGAAATGAATGAAATTCAAATGTATGAAATAAATACTTAGCTTAGAAAAAATGTACATCTACATACCATCATTCTGTGAAGATAACATTTTACTCCTCTTTCTAAGCCATGGAATGACAGAAGATATTTCTGATTCATTTCGTTTTGTTGGATGTTCCTGAATCAGGTAGATTAAATTTTCAACAACTGAAGCCATACTTCAAAAACTAGTTGTACTCGCACAAATGGTTAATTCTGAATATCTGTTTATTTCACTTTTATCGTTCAAAAAATCCTTGTTATACCATTCACTTTCTTCATTGTAGAAAAATATGTTTGTATTAATATATCAACAAAGTGTTGCCTCCTGAAACAAAACAATATTTATTACATTTTGATTTCTTATATACATTGTAGCATGTACGAAAAAGAAAAAGGCTCAGAATTTTTTTTGTTATAGTCGTCATTTCAGATTCTTGTCTTATTTCCTAAGAATTAGTCATATTTATTTCATGTTTATCATTAGCTAATAATCATCATGCAATATGAGTGACGGAAAAGAGATTGACATTTTTTTCTCATGGAAGGACCGGCCAATGATTGTACTAAACATGACATTTTTTTCTAATGGAGGGGTAGAGCAATGAGCTGTGCTAAATATGACATGTATTTGTAATGGAGGGATAGAGCAATCAACTGTGCTAAATAATTTATTCTAAATCGGTCGTAATTACATGTGATTTTAAGGTACGATAATTTTTGTGAAAAAAGTCTTTCATAAATATCAGATATTTGGTTTTAAAAGTTAAATTCTGGATTTTTTAATCAAATACAATAACACTATGATACAAACATAGAAACTCATGAATATCAATAAGGAGTCGGTCTTCTTGTAGCATGTAAAGAGCGACAACTCTATCAGTAAATTTTGTTTCAATACTGTTTTGATACAGTTATATCCTAAAGCTGATTGATCTTGGAGTCATAATTGAAAAGTAAAGGTACTTTTAAATGTTCACAAAACACTCGAAGCAACTTTATTGAAAGCAAAACTTTCTTGTCTTTATGATATACGGATAAAGAATAATCTCAGATTATGTATTGCGAAATAAATGATAAAGTCCAATACATGATAAACATTGAGCTTATAAAAGTTTTAAACACAAAAGCCGAAACTGCAAAAGATTGTATTGAAGCGATCAAATTCCAAAAAACGAGAATAACTGGGATACATTGATAATTGCAGCTGTTTGTCTATGATCAATTCAATAAATATTACCGGAGAATGTGGGATTTGATATAAAATACTAAGATTACTCGAAACTTTTAAAGGGGCATTCGCAACGAGATATGATAAAAAAAAAATAGAATATGATTTGTCAAAATTAGCAAAGAAACATCGCTGATGAATTATTCACTTGCAAGTGAATAATTCGACCTCATTGAATCCGTATTCATACGACCTTCAATTTAACCCATTAGCTAGAGATTTGTAACGCATGTATTAGTCGTGTTAAGCAATTAAAAGGAAAAGAATGTCAACATTGAAAGTGAAACAAAGGAGTACCATTTCGTTGACTGATTCGATCCACAAAAAAATAATTCTTATAAGGTAAAAACGATGATTAGCTTTTTTTTTTAACCTATAACATAAAATCAAACAGACCTAGAAAGGTCAAATTGCACGAGGTCGCTATCTATTTATATTTATGTTTATGTTTATATCGGGATATGTGACCGTCGGCAGTCTTCGGATGTCATCTCGATGGTTAATTAGACGGCGTCTTTATTTCAGACTTATTGTAATTTGGATATACGTTTTAGTATGTTATAAATCAAATTTGAGAATTTGAGTCAAATCGGTGAACATGAACTTGACAGTTAATGCCCCTTTAATTAAGGTCCAACATTTCTAAATTTGTAAAAAATAAAATCTCTGTATATAATGACATTTTGTATTCAGATTTTATTGCTTTGGAACGGTCAATCATTTTTTGTTAACTTTTCAAGTATCCTTTTCAATGATTTTTGTTGTACGGCTGTTCGACACTGAAATTCACCCAGCATAAAAATTCATTTTGTTAATCATCAATTACTATTTTTAAACTTCTGAATTAAGGCTCTAAAAAATGTAAAAATCATTTAAAATCATACTACATCAAAAAGTCAACCAGGCTTACATATTTGTATAAAAGGTCCAACACTGAAATGAAATAAATACCCGTACATGATCAGTGCGTAATTCCCGACAGATATTTTAACGAATTAAAGGAATTAAAAACCTAGTAAACAAAGAGTACAATCTGGGACCACTTTATATCAAATGCCAAAAACAACATTACGACAAGATTTAAATTAAGCAATAAAAACTTTAATATTACACAATAATGGATAATGAATAACAATAAATGGCGACAAATTGACTTATAAATTAGGGGTTAAACATATTTCTATTACATTTTGTATGGATATCTCCCTTAAATAAGTTCTTTATTTCTCAAGGATTGTCTTGATTATCAATTTAATCCAATGTATACAAATATGTATTGTACCATGACAGATAAACATTGATAATAAAGCAAAAGGAGTAGATCGAATGAAAACTAAATTAAATGTACATGGAATGGAATGGAGAGTTCTAAATGGAGAGTTGTCTCATTGGCACTCATACCACATCTTCTTATATCTATGTATAAACTGCATTTAACATTGGTTATCATTGATCTTCAAGTGGACAAATCACCACCGTTTTTTCTTCTCTTTTCTCTCTCTTTTTTTTTCAGAACATTACCCAATTAGTAGGTACAAGTAATTCGGTCTGTGGATGTCTTTGGGTTTTTTCTATGTTGCTGTCTCATTAATGGTACGTTGCATCTTAATTATTTACATGAACTTTAAGAAAATATCCTTTATTGAATGAATGAATGGATGCATCTTTATTGCAAAAGCGTAGACATGCTATGTCAAAATTAACAACATATATTACATAATATACAACACTGTTCAACCATGGAAGTATTATATTATAATCGACAGTAAATGAAAACAAACAACGGCAATCAATGAATTTGATTTAGATATTAGACTGACATAGTTAAAAGTTTCAAGATTCAAGATTTCAAGATTTAGCCATTGATTTGACCTCCCTTTTATTCGAAACCAATAAATATAATCATATTTATCAAATCAATATCCGATTAATATTAAGTTTAACGCAGGGCACTATATCAAAATTCAAACAGTGAACGGGATCTTATCAAACGAGATCTTCTAGTGATTTAATCAATAATGAAAATATATGGACAATGAGCTAGAAAAAACGAACATTGAAACTTCTAATATTTAACAGCTAAGAAGACAACAACAAAATAGATTGAAAAATCAAAACAAATACAAAAAAAAAATAGAATTTAATTTACGAAAACTTTATCAACAAATTATATGTCACAGTAAAGCCAGAATAGGTCATGTTATTTATATTTATTAAATAACAATATTAAGACTTTGAAAAAGGTATTTACTACTCCAGTCATTTACATTTATGTAGCACGAGTAAAGGTTGTTCTGCCCGGAGCAAACTGCTACCTTTTGGATGCAGCTTATTGTATTTATCTAGTGTAGTCTATATTCACGCGACTTTACCATATTCTAGTCCAGAAACGTTAGTAAGCGAAATATTTTCTCATTCACAAATATAAACTCAAATACACGTATACTAGTAATTAAATGAATTGTTGTAGTTTGCTACACGATCAGAGTTTTTGTAATGTCACACATTCAATTACAAGCATTAACAGGCCTGTCTAAAATCGAATTTGGAAAGTGTTTAGGGTCTTTGTCAGAGGCGGATCCAGGATTTTGGAAAGGGGGGGCGTAGTATTTTAGTTGGCCGAGCGGAGCGAGGCGAAAAAATTGTTTGACCTTTTTTTGGCTAAAAAACATAAAATAAGTGTAAAATGCATTTTAAAGTTAAAGTGTAGGGGCATTTTTGATGCCGTATTCTCTCCATTAATTGTCTATTATAAAAATGATTGGATGGATCCAAAGCTATGTACTAATTAATATATTTGATGTGGGATTTGTCAGTAAAAAATGGACATGGAAAATTCTCGTTTGTTGTATGGTTAGTAAACATAACCTCACAGATTTCTTGTTGTAAACAAGATATACGGCTATTCAATGAAATTTACAATACGACCGACACGAAGAAAGACAAACAAGCAATTTTTATTCAAATGTTTGGTTGAAATGTTTCAACCAACAAGGGAAGTGAGGGGTTACAAATCAACCAAAGGCTACGAATGAGTCGGAAATGACAATGAAGTTGTGAATGACGGTCGACACATGGAGACATATAGGCCACATGCATCCAGCAGGCAGGTTGCAATCGGGCCTTGAAAAAAGTATTCAGTATATCAGTTCGGCGAAACAGACATTCCGGTCAGATATGGGATTCACATGCACCCCCCCAAAAAAAAAAATTACGCCCGTTTTTATTCATCATGTTCATTTAATGCTAAATAATTTTGTTGAAAATATTTTTTTCTAATGGCAAAAAAGTGGACAAGATTATTGTTTCCAATCCAGATACGGCCAGAATGTTTGTTTAAGGCAAAAATCAGGGTCAGAATTTTTTCTCTAAAATATCTCAGACTAACCCCTCAAATCAAATGGTCCGTACCATAGACTTTAAATCTATAGCTAGAGCTTACTGACTGGGGATCACTATTCAGCAATGGTATTAATGGGCTTGGGCGTGTGGGGTTAAACATGTTTTTCGTTGGTAAATAATATTGCTGTGGAACTTTTTTTTCATGAGAGTGTAATAGAGTATTACTTTCTGTTGGGTGGAATTGTGAAAGAGAAGTCAATACGTTCTTGCTCAATACTTTGTCGCTTTGAAGGCGTCATGCTTGTCATCCTCAGCCTAAGCAATGTGTTACTGTAATTTGAATTTCAAAATGACTGAGTGACGTTTTTTCGACGTACTGGTCAACTCCACCGTAGCGAATCACATGACTTTGACATAATCAATAAAATATTACAGTAAATACGAGCGAAAAATATCTTTATAAGTAAAGAATTGTCGCATAAAAATTAAATACACGGGAAATGGCAAAGTTCGCGAAGTCTAGTCTGATTAATCATTTTACAAAAAAAAAAAATGTGCAAGCAAAGGGGGGGCGTACGCCCTCTACGCCCCCCTCTGGATCCGCCACTGTTTGTGGATTGAATAGCTGTGTCGTGTTTTGAACTTCTGCCTCGGAAACATTGATAATGAGGAGTTTTAAATGACATACAAAGTGGGAGCGTTTCTGGGCCATAACACCTGGGGGACTTGCGAGATTAATACTTTTGTATTTTCTG